TTTCCTTACACAGCTTGGCAAAATGCTTGTACTGGCCACATTCTTCCCGACAAGTGATGTGGACGGGTTGGATCTCATCCAGGTAAGCTCTCCGGTGCTTTTAAATATGAAATAATTGGCCAGCGCACGGGCTGCCCACGCGAAGATGCGTTTTTTTGCATAGTGCCCCGCAGTTTTTGTCGCTCCCGGCACCGGTTTTTCCGGCAAATGCTTCTAGCTAAACAAATTAAGACTGACCGTCAGAACTGTCAGGAAACATCCCCTTAAAATTTCAGCTTTCTGACTTTCTTGGCTCCTGAGTTAGCAATTTTACTCGGAAAAAACTTTCACGGGCCCGTACATGGGTATCACACATATCCAACGTCTGGGTTTGAGCTCATTGAGACTTACCTAGACGAGGAACATCCCCTTAAAGTTGAAGTCTTCTAGCTTTTCAGACACTAGAGTTAGTAACCTACTCGAAAAAAACTTTGGCGGGCTCATACTTGGGTACCATACGTACTCGGGGACTGGTATGAAGCTCATTAAGAATTGCGCGGACAGGGAACTTGCCTGTAAAATTTCAGCTTTCTAGCTTTTCAGGTTCTCGAGTTAACGACTTACCCGCGAAAAACTTTCACGGGCCTGTACGTGGGTACCACGCATATCCGAAAGCTGGGCTTGAATTCATTCATACCTACATGGACGGGGTGCGTCCCCTTAAAATTTCAGCCTTCTGCCTTTTTTGGTTCCCGAGTTAACAGCTTATCCGAAAAAATTTTGGCGGGCCTGTAGGTGGGAATCACGCGGGTAAGAGCGCCCATTTCGGAGATTGTGGCCCGTACACGCATGTAGATTAATTTCCCCAAGTTTCAGCTCCATAGTGTTGGTGGGTCTCGAGATGAAAAATCGGTACAGACGCGCAGCGCACACACAGACACACAAACAAACACACACAGATAACCTCTCGTCATTATGTGTTTTCTGCATTGCATAGTTGCAGAAAAGAAAGAAATAACGATTAGCCGATTGTAGTGTTAGGTTTACTGGCTAAGTGTTTCAACTCGACTGGACAATAATTCGGGGTGGTAGCAGGGTCCACCATGTCCCTCGTAAGTCGACTGGGTCGCCTTCACAATTCCGCAACCCCACACTATATCGGCACTACTTTACAATGCAGACACGACTTTACAACACAGACATTTATCGCGCTTTTGCCATATAGGTTTCCCGGGTCAACCTGACTGCTACTGTTGCATCATGACTCCCTCCTAGGTAGGTCGTGTAATGGCGTGAAAGCGACCTTATATAGGCGTGGAATCGGCCGCTTTCACGCCTATATAAGGCCGCCTATATTTGGCCACTTTACGAGATCTTGTCCCTTATGTAGGTCGCTTTCGCGCCGTTACACAACCTACCTAGGAGGGAGTCATGATGCAACAGTAGCAGTCAGTCAGGTTGACCTTGGAAACCTAAAAATGGCAAAGGCGCGATAGATTACAGCATGAAAGAACAGTATGAGAAAAGAAGGTAAGAGAGTGAGGTAAGACGTTTCGGTCCATTAAGTCATATACCCCTCTTAACTCAACACCGCGACAAGATCTCGTAACAGTATGTCGGTCGCAGTGCTCAGTAGAAAAGGAAAAGATGACAGGAAGGAATATATGAGAACGATAACTTGGCATTATTTATCACTAACTGGCCACAAGTCACTCAGTTTTTCTGTTGCATCTCCTTATCTCTCTCCACAAATTGCTTGCTTTATGAGTTTTATAATTTTTTTCCGTCTTCCATTTCTTCTCTTTCTCTATTTTATTTCTTCTCTTTCTTGTCTTTATTTTTATCTTAAAAAATTTGTATACTATACTAAACCATCTAAATTATCTCTGTTACCAGAATCGTCGTTCTGACGAGGTCCAAATTGTGGTAACGGTAAGAAATGTATACGATTTAATGGATCGAAAAATTTCTTATCAATTACAAATGTTTCAATACTGCCATTCCCTTTTTTTCACTTCGTTTTCCTTCGCTTCTTTTTTCTATTTCATCATTTTCTGCCTTGTAATTTTAATTTTAGATGATGCGTGTTTGTGTAAAAGGTAAGGATCTGCCTTATCCTTCAGCACTAAGCAGGTCATGGCACATAAATAGCATGATCGCAGGTTCATGCCATATCTTTTTGAAAAAAAGAACACTGCTTGGTTTATATTGTAATGTTTTAAAGTATCTAGTAGTACATCGTTCCAGGAATTGATGAAAGCGAGCGCTGATATATTTGACGTGATGGGCCTGCATGCTGTAATTGTGTATCTTATGGCTGGCAAAAGTGAAGTACGATTTTTGGCCGCCGGCCTGGGATGGGCTTTCGCGCACAGGTCAGTTTTTTGCTACTGTGCAGCAGCACTTCTCGAATGCCAGTATAAAAAGGCAAAGATTTGTAATATCGCGTAATATATCAAATAATGATTAATGGTTTTTGTTAAAAATAAAGATCAACTGCGTTACTATGACACAGTACCCCTGTCCCTGGTTCAAACTTTAACCACCCTACCCTCATTGAACTGTCGATCTTTGTCCCCAGGGGTATAAAAGCACTCTTCCCCATCGCCGGGATGGCCACTATCGATCTACTACTGCGACCTACTTCTATATAACTGATACTCCTATTCTGAGGAGCTCCGGCTGTCCTGAGCCTCACCTCCTTTTTATGCATTATCTTTTTGACTTACTACGTATTAATAAACATGTGTATAGGACGCGACGTTTTACACACACACATACAAACGGGACACACACTAGTCTAATAATCTAACTGTTAGGATCGCGATAGTAAAAAGGTAACATGATTGGGGTAGGAGGAATAATATGAAGAGAAATGCTATTTTTTAAGGGTAGTACACTTCAAACAATAGGGGAAAGGGCTAATAAATGTTGTTTTGCAAAGAATTATACGCATCAAACAGGCATTAGGTATTTGTTGGAGGCATGCAGCTCAGTATCGAAGTGTCTGGCTTAGTTGCGCGAACTTTGTAGGATATTCTTAATAACATTACTGACATGAAATGCAAAGCTTAATTGAGTTGTGTATCTAACTCCTCAACATTCCAAATACATCATTTTTCTGTAGCTGTAGTATTCGTGCAGTTCACGTAACTCAGTACGCAGCATCGTAACAGTGGGCAGCGGAACCCATGCTAGTGTCCAACACAGATTTTGTAATTATATCACATACATTCGTTGGCGATTTCAAGAGGGGGAAGGAGAAGGCGATGGGTCTTGTACCCCCCTTCTTTAGCGGCACAAACACTAGTGCTACAAAAGTCTGGGTGTAAAGCTAAAACTGAAGAAAACTTTCTTCTGCACTCCCCGTTGCCCCCTCCCCTTCCCCTGGTTATCGATGCTGGAAGTCCCATCCCCTTCCTTCCTCCTCCCCCACTTTATGCCACTCATAACCCTGCCTCAGAAAGCCGTCCTGGATCCACCTATGCACACATAGCGGCCTGTAGTATTCGTTACATTGTATTGCTTAATAAAATGTTGCTTGTTTCCCTCCTGGTCATCGGTGCTTAGAGCCTCACTCCCTTCCTTCCTCCCCTTCCCCCTCCCGCTTCACCCACTTTTTCCACTCGTCACCCCGCCCCAGGAGGTCGTCATGAATCCGCCTACGCATGCATAGCGGTCCGTAGCATTGTAGTACTTAATAAAATATTGCTCGTTTCCCGTTTACAGCAACTTATTTTCACCTGTTTGAGATAATTCTAGAAGCGAGCAAGCGATTTGGCCTCCTTTCCAGTGATTTTCATATGATTCTAGGAAGTGATTTTTCATTTTTTAGTGTTGCAAGTCGTCTTGTTGGTTTTTGGGTTGGTGCACGCGCAACAGCTTTTCACTGGAAATTCATTCAAATGGCTCTCGATTCCAACATTGATTTGATTTTTTACGTTGGTTAGTTCTTTCTTCCATCGGAATTTATTGTATTTTTATGCTTTACTTTTGTTGACAAAGACGTAGTTTGATGGAATAATATTTTGGACATTGTGATACCCACTGGGATTGCTACAACGGTACTAGTGCAGGCCTGATTTTTGCTGTCTGCGTAAGAAGCTAGTTTGCCTTTATTTTTTTTTTTTTCTGAGGTAAACATTTTTTCGATACTTTGGCATTCAAGTTCAGCCCAGATGCTACAAACGAATTAATCAACTTAGAAGTCTTAACTCAATCGTTTTCCCTTCTAATTTCTTCTTTTTATACACCTTCCTTAGTTTGGCAGCCGAGATGAACCTGAACGCTACAATCGGCTTAGAAAAACGTTTTGATCATTCCTTCAAATAGCGGCGGCGGTATTTGTTGATTTTCAAAATAGAATGATTCAGGAGATATATGCATGACTTGATGAGTGATTTATCTAGGGCAGAATGCTTTTAGGACTCGTATAAATTATATTTTTGTGAAAAATGAATATGCGCAGTATTTCGGTTTGTTTTAGCAATGGCTGCACTGGTTTGGTTATTTTCTCGTAACGATTTACAGCCATCAATGAAGCGATTCGTTGTTTTCCTGATTGCACTATGTGTTTTTCATGAATTCATAGCACAGTAAGTCTTTTTTTTTGCCCTTTGTATGATTTAGATAGTAAAAATCCAGCAATCCGACTTAGGAACTGCGTTTTAAATTTAAACTTATGGATAAAAAAATTGGATGAAATCTGGTAGTGGGGATATACCTCCCCATTATCCCCTGTGGGCCTCTTCTCTCTCTATTTTCTGGAGGTATTTATGCCCCTTACCTATTTTAATATCCTTTTCCTCCTTTTCATTGTTTCCTTCTCTTGATATTTTCTTCTTAACCTTTAATTTATATCTTAATATTTTGATCAGCTCGTTATCATTATTCGCCTAATGAAGCACTGCTGGCAACTTCATCATTCTTCCTTTTGGGTGTGTCTCATCCACATTTACTTATATATTCGTTCAAATGGATTGTTCAACTGAACTGCTACCTCCCCTCCTTTTAACATTGCACGAGTACCATTCAATAATCCACTTTGCCCATCTTTCTCTCATTACTATATGATCAATCCATATCGCCCGTACCAGATCGAAGTCACAGTACTTCACTTGAAATGTGCTGCAATTTGCTGACACCCACGACTTGTTAAAATGGAAAACTTGCACCTACTGCGTAAATCCGAAGCAGCTGAAAAAGGTATATGTCCAACCTTGTTTCCTTAGGTAAAGCATTGCCAAATTCGAAAATTCCTTTTTGTTTCATCCTTCACGAAAGACAGAGGACGTCTACTATGCCTGCAGCAACGAGTAATTGGTAAAGCAATGGCTCTTTTTTTTTTTGGGAGTTTCTGTAGAAATTAGAGGTGCTTTGATTTCCTAAAATACATCAGGAAATAGAAAGGACCGTGGGGGCCTCGACCAAGAAGTAGTCATTTCAGATAGGAATGTCAGGGTTGTGGTAGACGAGAGGTGGTAATAAAAACCTCAGCACCATGTGTGCCAGTATAAAATATATAGTTCAAATAGTAAAGTAAAAGGATTCGATTTAAGTGTCACGTACAAAAAGACATTTTACGATGCAGCCATCTGTGTTTCATTCCTTAGTTGTAACTTAAAATCGTGAAATGCCTTTTTGTGCATGAC